TATTTCTTCTTCGGTGAGAAGTGAGGGCCGAGTGAGGGCGGAGAGAAATGCCTCCTGCACAGCCACTCGAGAACGTCCCTACAGTCCAAGCGAAGAGCCTCTAAGGCAAGAGCCAATTTTTGCAAAATCCTGTGGCATGTGAGATTTGATGTGCCGTGTGTGCATGCATGCAGAACACATGAAGTCCGAAGCATGCTGACCATGACATGTCAAGGCACCATCCCTCTACGTGGGCAAGGTAAGTAGCCAGAACGATTCCGTCTTCGCAGTGAACGGCTTCGTTCCGCATTGGTGCGCCGGCATTGACATCTCTTTTTGGTCCATAGAAGAGCAAGTCCCATGCCTCTAGGCGCCATGCCTTCAGCAAGCAGGGTGAGGCCATCGAATGCTAAGAAGTGCAAGTGTTTGATACTGTTGGCTATTACTCGGAGCTGGGTTGCTACCCTCACTCAGGCAGCTGCCTGGTACGTGGTCGAATTTGACCCCAGCCAGGCGAAGAACACGATCGAGAAGAAGGGATGCATAGAAGCCATTGTATAGACAGTATAGATGTAGTCCGGAGTGGGCAGAGAAGCTACCGTCATAATTTCACACGTTCTGTACTGTTGCTGCTTTCCACGGGCTTTTTGCACTCATAGATGGCTGTGATTCACTGGTCGCTGGCCACTCAGCCATTGAGCTATCCGATGATGTGGGTTGTTACGCATATTGCAAATGTACATCACGAGTCCACGGATGCAGGTATCCTGGAAGAAGTTTGAAGAGATCTTGGGCGCCACAGATCCTTCGCAGGCCACGACAAGTGGTAGAGTAGTAGAGAGTTCAAAGAGAGTAGCAACGAGCCAGACCTGTAAACACACTCTTGCAAGCCATGAGCCAATACCTTGAGATGAAGAGGCCAGCGCAGACTCCATCCGCGGTCAGCTCTTCCACCACTGGCAGGCACGGGAAATCTTTGGCACAAGGGTAGTGGTGCAACCCCGCTGCAGAACGTAGAAGCTCGTGCTGCAGATGGAATGTGCTATGTGCCAAAGTCAACCAGAACTTGGCAAGCCTGCAGGAGTGTGGTTTGAGCCAACAGCCAACGACCACAGAGCACCGAACTTACAGACAGAGTTTTGGTGTATTTGCTCGCTCAAGCCCTCACCTGAACTTGCATTCGTGCTTAGCCTACAAGTCGTGTTGCATCTGTTCCTGTTGCTGCTTGCATCTCGCGACTCAGCAACGCCGTGCACTTCTCGGCTGGAGCGCTCGAGGCGCTCCGAGAACGCTTGCTGTGCCTTTCTCAGCCTACCTGCTGAGCTTACAGTGTACTGTACTACTGAAGCTGTGGGCTGTTACGTGCAAGTGCTTGTGAGGGATTAGAGAGAGCCCTGGAGTCTGCCGTGAGAGCAAAAGACACCTTCGGGAAAAGACCGTACATGTACCAGCACCTCTCGCTGGATATGTACAGCAAGCTACCCCAGAAGGCCCCGTAATGAAGTGATTCGCAGTGTAGATGTCAGACATAGTGAGGTGGACCGGAAGTTGCCTCGAAGATGATCCTCTTGGTCGATTGCTGCTGTCTAGCGGAGTGCACTGCCAGCAAGGGATGTAATCATGTGCATTCCGGGCATTTCCCTCTACCAGAAACGCCTCAAATCGAACTCCGACATTTTCCTCGCAGACAGGGGATACAATTTTAGCTCCGCACAGGTAATGTTGTAATCGGTTCAGTTTCCAGGTCACAGTATCCGATTCGCCAAGTCAAGTCCAAAGAGGTCCTAAGCCTTCTTGTAGTCTTTGGGTCCCAGCATCGCTGTGAGGGTTAATGTGTTGATTTCACTTTGTCTGAAAACAAGGTGCTTACCTGAGCCTTGCCGGCTGACCCAGTTCAGGATTTTGTTGCACTGTTCTGAAGGTACCTCAGCACATTTTGGAGCAGTGGATGGAGAATCCCGATGTGGACGAGTGGTGTATAGGCTTGACCCGCCAGAACATGTTTACGTAAAGTACGGTCAATGCACCATAGCACCACTTGCTAGTTGGAGTCATTGCATGCCGCCTACTTCATTGTCAGATCCGTTCAGGCACGCGGCGAGTCTCTGGGCCACTTTTTGCTTGTACAGAGGCAAGCTGCTGCAGGTAGCAGTGGGGCCTGCAGTAACAATGGCAGCAGCAGCACTTTCAAGGGCTGGGAAGGCTTCAAGGCAGATGATGCTAGTATAAAGCTTTTAGAGAAAAAGCATGCATGTAGATATGGAAGATTTGCTTCTTTTCTGCGAATCCTGCCGTCTCTGGCAGTGCATCGACAATTGAATGGCTGATGGCAGCCATCGAGCAAGCTGAAGCTGCGCTCAGAGTCGCGCAGCTTCAAGTTTTAGTGTAGGCGTCAGGCACAGGTTTGATCAGACATGGCGGAGGCTGCGCAGCCTCTTTCCGCATCTCAGCTGATGAATGTTGAGAAGCAAGCCATGGTACACGACGTCCAGTGCCACCAAGAGAAGTGGAAGTATGAGGATTTGAAAAGGCTTCTGGCAAGAGGACACAAGACGAATGTGTGGATACCATCAACAAGCATGTGACGATGAGTGTGATACAGATGACAACCCATCAAGTGGAAGAGTGGTTGAAAGCCCGGATGGAAGTAGAAAGCTGGTCTGGCGATGCAATTCAAGCAAAAGAAACGTATCCCAAAAAGGCAAGGGTGCCTTCATTCGCAGACGGATCATGCTCCCGCTCAGTCGGCTCATGCCCCAGCGTTCCAGCGTGTCAATTTTGGTGGCGCCAAGAACAGACGAGAGGATGAGATCCCTTCAAACAACAAGAAGAAGTCCAGGCCAAGATGCAGGATGGTGAGGCCTCGCAGCGATCAATGATCAGGTCGCACGGCCTGTGCACATCTGTGCAGATTGGATGGAAAGCAAAGCTGATTCTAAGCAGGGAGGCCCCAAAGGGTGAAGATTGTGATGACTCAGCCCGAACTCTCATCTGTGTATCTGTATTCCGAAGCTATGGTGACGCTTCGGTTCTGGGCCCGTCTTCTTCAGCACATCTGATGCCAACATACAGGTACTGTCCCTGGTCTTATCTTCAAGAGAGGAAAGGGGGGCGAATGAGCTTCTGCGTGCCCGTGTTGGAGTTGGGGAGTTGGATGGGTACATGCCGTTACATCCATGTAGGGTTGGCCCGACATGTTCGGACAGTGTGAGGCGTGCGACACAGCAACTTTCAGAGACTCGGCTCTTCGATATTTACGGGAGAAGGCAGGCAAGTACCGGTGTCTTGCAGCAGCATGCAAACCTGGATTGTGCTGCAGGGCGAGAGCCTTCACTGCTGGACAATCTCTGCAAGGCAACATGCTACCGGTAGCAAATTGTCGGCTGTGACAGCAAGTTGGCGAGATTAATTTGCCTTCCGCTGCAATTTTTAGCTTTAGTGGCCGTTTAGATGGCCTTCTACCTTGAGCACCCTTGAGCCATACTAAGCTGAACGGTTCCCACGCCAATGCAACGTTTGTCCCTCTTACAGCACACCCTGAGAGCACCTGCCTGCCTTGGCAATGCATCGGTTTCCACGACGTGTGCTGGGAGCGTACGCATTTGCAGAAGGGACAGGCAGGGCCAGGGCGACTCAGCCCAGAGCAGTCCATTGCAGTTCATTTGTCCAGAGACTCCGTCAGGCTTTGTGCATCATTGGTACGTCAAGCGCGACTTCGCGGCATGTTTCATGCACTTCTCAGGTGCAAACCACATTTTCTTTTGCCGGCATGTGCCACGAGGCCGTGCCCGGAGCAGCCCAGCACCTGCTCGTGCACCAGCAGACGAAGAATATGGGCGCCAGTTTCTCTTGCTGGCGCGCTGTGACGGCCGAGGCCAGGGCTTTTCGCACCCTGCCACCTGCCATCTGCTCCTCCTAACCACCCTCCTGCCCCACAGCATTTTTTGGTGGATTGGTGTTTAGCGGTTTTAGTGTGTGAGGTCTTTGAGTTAGGGTTTTCTTGTGTGGGTTTCTGGAGTTTAAGGTCCTTTTGTTTGGGGCTCAGAGTTGAGGGTGTAGGATTCAGATGTGTTTGTTTGGTGGGGGGCGAGGTAGCTGTGGTACTGCTGTGCCACCACCATTCAGAGCACCTGGTCCTTGTTCCTATTCAGAAATCTTGCAGCAACCAGGCAACTTCGACTCCCTAGCCTGCGCGCGATTCCTGCGCCATGCCTTCTTTGGCACGCCGTGCGAGGCACTCTCCCGCGAGGCGCACTTCGGCAGTTGATCCACGAAGTCACGGAGTTCGTGAGCATCTGACTTCAGAGAGGTAGTCCAGCACTGGCTTCAAAGTCACCTTGGAGAGACTGATGGTGCAGCGCTGGTCTCAGTATCGAGGGGTGTTACTATGCGATTAGCAGGTTAAATTCAATTCAAAGCGGTTCCCGCTTCTTGTCTTGCGCACTGCCCTGAACATTATCATTCAGGCTTCCTACCGTTCATCAAAAAATCCTGCATGTTCCTAGTTAACTGGTATTCCAGTACAGCAAGCCAACGCAGGATGTTTAGCATCGAGTGTGTCTTTCAGGGTTTTGTTTTCTACATTTTGGAAGCTTGGTGTGACGGACGTTTTCACCGCGACGCGTGGGTCTCCAAGCACCAACCACAGAACTAGACAAGCTCCAGAGAGCAATGGCTAAACCCAGATGGTTAGGCAGAGGGCACGAGCCCTTATGGCCAACCACTTCTATGATTGGCAAACTAGCATGAATGGACAATTTTGGACGCAATTTCGTTACGTTTCACAGCGAGTAAAGTGTGCAAACCTCAGATCTCTTCGCTGGAAAGAGCGCTGGGCCCCTTCGCTCCAAGCCTGCGAGGCTAGTGGCACTCAGATAAGTTTCTTGTGCTTTCTCAAGCGTATGCTTCCGATGTTGCCTTAACTGGAAGCTGTGAGGTGTTGCGGCACCTGCGTCTTTTGTTTTTGGCGAGGGATGGGCTTTTTGGATTGCAATCGGCAACGGTGCTGTTCAAAATGTTTGGGCATCACCTGCAGATCTGTTTTTCTTTCTGCTGCAGGTTGAAGCCTGGTACAAGCCGCTTCTTCTTCGCTGGTTCCTTGAGGTGTGGACCTTCTCAGTGGCACAGTGACTTTGGTTTAGCTCGGGCAAATTTTGAAACTTCTGCGGCCAGCATCCCACGCGGGCCCTCGGCAGCCCAATTGTCCGACATGAAGAAGGGGCATGCTTAAGCTTGGCAGAGCCAGGGTCAGCGCTATGTGGCCCGACGGCGGTTACTGCGTCAAGGCTTTGTCGAGACACGCGCCGAGGCGCTTCCCCAACTTAGCCTCTTGGAGAAATTTTTGCGTTGCTGGCCGAGATGTTTGCTTTTTGTCTGTCTGAGGTTTCTGGGAGCGTAAAGATGCTCCCAGCGAGGCCAGCGAGGCGGGCGAGGCGCCTGAGCCGGCTTTGCTGGTGCTCCACGGCTACGGCCGAGGCCATAGCCGTTTGGAGTCGAAGCTTCGAAGTTCGAAGCGTTTTCGAAGCTTTTTGGAAGGTCTGGCATCGCCACTCTTCGAGTGGATGATCCCGAACCTGAACAGGAGGCATGCATCTAGGGACTAAGAGGTGGCAAGGCATCAGAATTTCGCTGAGGCATGTCATCATTGTCGACTGTCAGTGGCCTGGCCGCATTTTGCAAGTGCTAGGACAGGATTACAAACTCTAGACAATCTGAGGTGGCTGATGGTGACTAGGGTTCCGGTGCGAGATCTATCGAAAACGCCAACTGTCCGAGAGATCGCTGCTGCTGTGGCAGCCTACCTCGCCAAGAGGCCCTGCATTGTGCACAGCTCTGCACCGCTGGCGGATAAATACAAAACATCAGGGCAAGATGGACTGTTTGCAGCTGTTCTTAGCCTGCAATCGTATCCGTTGAGGTCCATTGCTGCACTGGCTGCTTGAATGCCTGCTTGAATGTCTGCAGCGTCCACAGTCCGGAGGGGCCTCACGGTCTCCACTTTTGTAAGGCAGTAAAAACTTCAACGTAGTTGCTGTGCAAGGCTGAGAAAGTTGGCAAACCCCCTTGGCCTAGAAGAGCACGCCCAAACCGAAACGAATGCAGCAAGCTGTGAAGGAAAGTTACCCTTGGGACCGAGCTGTCTGGGCAGCAGGGTCTTTCAGCCTACGCTTGCTCGTATGTTTCGTGCTGAGCTGATGCAGCATGCGCACACTTACCAGGTGAGTCTCCTGGTTGATTTGAATCATTGCTATGACCGCATGAATTTGCAGAAGCTTTTGCAGTTTTTCCCTGAAGCGTGATTAACCCCCTTGTTGGTTGCCTTAGCTTTGCCAGTCCATGCTGGAATGCGGGTGCTTATGGGGAAAGGCATGCACATGGGGCCCTGGTTTGGCTGTATTGCCCGGCAGAGGTTTGGCTGAGAGAGCCGGCCTCTTTCCTTTTTTTTTCTCCTAGGTCTGGCTGTCGCGGGCAGGGGGCGGGCCGGGGGGGTGCGGGGGCGGGGGGCGGCGGGGGTGGGCTTGATCAGGTCAGCGAGCTTCTGCTTATCGAATGGCCTCAGGGGATGAAAATCATAAGCCACGCCACGACTGCATTGAAACCGAGATTCCCGCATAGCGTGCCGAAGAACTAACCAAGATTCAGCAGCCAAAAGGCCACGGCAGAACAGAAAAACAATTAATTCAAGCTGTCATTGTTTTATGCAGAACGCCTCTAGCTTCACTGCGGGTGGCGCATAGCGGTCGGTCGGTCGGTCGGTCGGTCGGTTGCGGTCGGTTGCGGTCGGTCGCGGTCGGTGACCGTCCACGTGTTCAGAATCATGTAAGGCAATGTAAGGCCTGCAAGTCGTCGTTCGGTCGGTCGGTCCGTCCATCGGTCGGTCTGTCGGGCCAGCGGGCGGGCGGGCGGGCGGGCCCATCCGTGCTTGCCGTAAAGAACATCATGTCATGACTATGTTTGCAATGAGGAGGGTTATGTGGATCTTCTTGTTTGCAAATGGGGTGGGGGGAATGCCGCCCATCCCCGCCGGGGCGGCTGCGGCCCCCCCCCCAACCCTCCCGCTTTTGTATCAGTGCACCGCATTCCGTTTGCAGCGAGGGAGGGTTTTGCGGATCTTTTGTTTCGCGAATCGAGGGTCTGCACGCCCGACCCCCCTGGTCTTTTTGAGCAATCCATGCTTGCAGTGAAAAGTATCATGTCATTGTTATGATTGCAGTAAAGGAGGGTCTTGTGGATCATTTGGTTTGCGAATGGGGGGGCTGCGTTCCCTAAGCCCCCGCTTCTTTAAAAGTTCATGCGTACCGCAAAGAAGAGCATGTTATCACTATACGTTTGCAGCGAGGAAGGTTTTCCACTGCTGTTTTAAGCCATCTGTGCTTGCTGTAAAGAACATCATGTCATTATTATGTTTACAGTCGGAGGGTTATGCGGATCATTTGGTTTGGAGATTGGGGAGGGGCTCGCTTTTGTTGCGCAATGCATAATTGCCGTAAAGAACATCATGTCAGCATTATGTTTGCAGAAAAGGAGAGCTATGCGGATCATCTTGTTTCCAGATGGGACAGGGTTGCCCCCCAGCTCCCCAACCCTGCCCGTTTTTAAAGCATTCCATGCTCGCAGCAAAGAACATCATGTCATGCCTATGTTTGCAGTAAGGGAGGTTAATGCAGATAATTTTGTTTGCACATGGCGGATGGAACGTTTTCACATTTTGATCCAACACCAAGCTCTGGTGTGGAACGTCCTCACATTTCTGTTTCAAAATCAGGCTCTCGTGTGGAGCATCCTCACATTGTTGTTTTCAAAATCAAGCTCTCGCGTGGGGCGTCCTCATGTTTTGTTGCAAAAGCAAGCTCCCGCATGGAGAGTTCCCGCATTGTCGTTCTGAAATCAAGCTTTCGCATGGCGTGTCTTGACGTTTTGACTCGAAAATCCAGCTCTCGCATGGAGCGTCCTTGCATTGTTGTTCCGAAATAAGATTTCGCGTGAAGCGTCTTGTCTTAATTACACGAAAATCAAGCTCTCGCATGGAGCGTCCTCAAATTTCGATTGCAAAATCTAGCCCTCGCGTGGAGCATCCTCGCATATAGGCTGAAAAATTCAAGCTCTCGCATGGAGCGTCCTAGCATTCGTGACATTCAGCTCTTGATGGGCAAGCCCTTATAGCCGAACCCCGGAACAAAATAACGCCCACGGTCGGTCGGCGTGTTTTTTTTCCTAAGTTTGGCTGTAAGGTTCTGGTAGCGCCTGATAAACGGCCTTTCAGCCGAACCTGTAGACCAAGCAATGCAGCCGAACTTGGGAAAAAAAACGCTTCCGCCCATGCACTCAGAGATTATCCTGCCACCTCGAGGACTGACCGATGATTCAGTAGTAGTCATTGCGCGTGCGGTAGAGGTTCGTCTCAGAGAGGCGCTCTTTCCGTACTGCTGGCACCAATCCTTAGCTGCCAGTGTCGTGGCGCGCACTTAGCACGCCCTTGCGAACCTCAGCTGCGTGGAGGAGCACCTGAAGATTCTCACTTCGTGGCCTAGCCTGCGAAGGCCACGCAAGCCCTCATTGCAAAGCGTCAAGGCTCGTAGGG